GAGTAGTGGTGGGGAGGCAGGCGCATAAGAAAGGATGTGGTGAAAGAAAGACAGAGAGAAAAGAAAGACGGAGGGAAGGAGGAGGGGGGTGAAAGAAAACGCAGTGAAAGAAAAGGAGCAGGGTGTGTTGAAAAAGAGAGAAAAAAAAGTAAAAAGGGGGGATGGTGGAGTGTGAAAATAAAAAAAGAAGAGTCCATCAGCAAGAGGTGGAGGAAGAAGGGGTGGTGGGGGGGGGTGAGAGCAAAGGGAATGGAGAGACGAAAGGAGATATAGAGAAACGGAGGGAGTGAGGAAAAGAAAAAAAAACACATAACAAGAGAAGACATTAACTATTGAACTTCCAGATTTCTTTCAGAAACAGTGTGGCAGGCAGTGTGAACCTGTGGGCTGCAGGTTGTGTTGTTTAAAGTGGTCGTCCCAATAATTAGACAGGTATTCTGTTCTCCTAACTCACCTTTAACAAGTAAACACACACACACACACACACACACACACACACACACACACACATAAAGCGTGTGGAGGGAAAAGTAGATCTGAGACGAAGAGCAGAGGCACAACAAACCCAGTGTGGACACATGCCAGTTGTGACTGTAAGACTGAGGAACTGTGCATAAACATTTCCTCCTAAATAACAGGAAAGGGCAAACCTTGAAAACCTTGATCAATCATCAGCAGCTGGGAGTGCTGCGAGAATGAGAAAGATAGAGAGAAGGAGGGGGAGGAGGAGGGAGAGATAGGGAATGAGAGTGAGCACGAAGGATAGGGAGGGAGGGAGGGAGGGGAGGGGAGGGAGGAAAGAGAAAGAGATTGAGTGAGGGTGTGAGTGAGGGGGAGAGAGATAGCAGGAAGTCGAGGGAGAGAAAATAGAAGGAGAGCAAGGCGAAGAAACAAAGAGATAAGAGGCTGAAAGACAAAGAAACCACATGGAAGAAACAACAAGGGACACGTACATAAAACAACACAGAACTAGCCTATGGGGAAAATGAAAAAGACACAGACAACAAAAGTTTGGGGGGGGAAAGAAATGCTCTGGCTCCTTTCCAGGGCCTGAATCTTAAAATAAAAAATAGTGGAAAAAGCTGCTTGTTCTGTCCGTTTATTTACTCTTGGTCCATCTGCATAAGACTGAGTCTGAAAAACTAATATTTCTGTGGCATACAATTTATTACGCTTCTTAGATTTCTACAAATCAGAGACAGAGGAGTAAAAGTACTTGCATTACATCCGGGGTTTGTAACGCCTGATTGACATCAGAAGCCCGGAGACGAGACGTTTTTTGACTCGTGTGTCCATTTTCCAAACCGGGCCTGCTTGTTTATCTATAGGACGAGCCCAGTGTCACATCCACTCTGTGATGTAGGTCAAAGTTAGAACTTATTGTTTCCAACAAGAAGAAAAAAAGAGAGAGAGCAAGTCAAGGAGACAGAGTGCTGGAGCGAGAGGTGGGGCGGCGGTGGTGGTGCAACAGATTCAGATATCAGCTGTCTGTTTTACCCCTGAGAGATGCTCAGGGAAACTGCAGAGGACTTATTGATAACTCCTGTTTTGATTTTTTTTTGTTTGTTTTTTTGGTGGGGTTTAAACAAATTCATCCAACATGTCAGAAACAGTTTGGGTTAGGATCTCTGAATCACTCTTGTTTTTYCAGTGACTCGGACCGCGTGTGAGACGCAGTGCATCCTGGGTGATGGCTCTGATTTAACATCCTCTCAGAGCCGTGGCATAGGCAGGTAAATGATAAAGACGTTGTCCATCTAGGGTGACAAAAACTAGTTCTAGCATTTTAAAGTAGGTTAGGTTCATGAAAGCATCTTGTTCTGTGGGTTTCTCAGAAGCATCGTTCAKWCAAGGTGTTATTTGGTGCAGAKGATATGTTGTRATAAAAGKATCATGATGCTGTCAAAACTACCATATTTATGAGTTTATAATGAAGTTGGGGTGTTGTACTATACACAGGAGAAAAATTGGACCATTTTCTGCTAATTTAGTACCACAAAAATTTCCATATTTTCTCTTACTGAAATGATGAGTGAAGTTGGATAAACCTCAGTTGCATGTTCGTGTGCTCAAAAGAACCTAAGCTGCTCCTCAAAGCTGTCCATCTTACTTAAATAACCATCTTCTGCTCAGGGAGTGGAAGATTTTCAGTGACATGCAAAAGCACGTGTTGCTCTGCAATAACAGACACGCCCACAAAACTTTACAGGTGTTGTGTGAAAGTTGATATCCCCAAAATAATGTTTCTCTACCAGAAAGCACGCTGCAAAAGCTGAAACATCCAGAAGTCTGTATAGAATTAGCAGAAGCATTATGCATGGGGATTCAATTTTTTTATGCTTCTTAAGCTCAAAAGATGGGAGTCGCATTATACACGAATAAATACACTGACTCCTGGTGCTCATTGAAAACAAAAAAAAAAAAGGATAATGGAAGTTTCAGTTATGATCTCAGATAAAGTTCAGGCTAAAGTCTGGTTTACAGTGTTCTACCTTCATAAAGTACTGATTTTATGTTGTTTTATTAATCCTGAGTTTTCAGTCAGGTATTCTTCAAATAACTGAAAAATGCAGTTTTGAATAGATTTTTTTTATAAAATTTCCAGTGGGTATCCTCTTGGACCCCCCTAGAACTGCTTCACCCCACAGCCACTCATTAATGTGAACAAGTGTTCCTCAAGTCTGTAAAAAATTGCAAATTGCAAATGGCAGAGAATTACCAGGATGTTTTCCATTTATTTTACGGACATGTTTGTAAACCCTAAAACAAATTTTCATCATAGTTTTTAAAAGCCACTTCAGTAGAAAACAGAACTGAATATTAGTTTCTTAACTTCTTCATCATCAGTGACTTTTTTATAAAATAGAGAAGAAGAAAAAGGAGAAATGCAATGGGAAGGTTTGAAAGAAAGATTAGAAGATGTGTGAAATATACACCAAGAAAACACAAGACAACACACCCATCATCTGTCTGTACACCTGCAAAAATGCAAAAAACAAGAACACAGCAACAAAATACATGTGTATATAATAATAACAATTATAATCTTGCTGAAAAGTATACATACATACATATACTCATGCATATATATATATATATATATATATACACATTCAGTGACCGTCAGAAATCTCAGGATCTGAACACCTGTTAGTGTGCCGTTGTGAGCATGCATGTAAATACAAGATTTCTCCAATGGAATATTTAACAGTGACTGTGGAGACCCAGAGACCCGATCCCCAAGACCCAAGGCAGACATGAGGGAAACCAGAGCCAAAAACCCAGAGAGGGACTTCAAGCGCAGAGCCCCCAGGGGCACCAGCTCAGGGAGAACCACCCACCCACCCCCCAGAGCAGACCATAGGAGAGAACCGGGAGAGCCCACCAGTGACCACACGCAGTAATCCCCCAGGGCCAGCAGCGAGGTGCTCACAAGCACCCGCCATGCCACGCTGGAGCAGATCCGGGCTTGGACACAGAGACCTGGACCCCCAGGCCAAGGCCCAACAGGGCCAGAGGACCCAAGCCCCACCAGGCGGTCACCAGGCCGAGCCGGCACGTGCCCAGCGCCCAGCTCTAGACACCGACAGTAATTCAACAGCTTTTTTATATGTTAAACTTACATACATTTCAGTCAATCCAAAAATGAACAACTGTTTTTTTACAGTATATTTTAAGGTATTTTCACAAACACTTTTATAATCAATAATTTGAAGTCTACGTTTACAGTCTAAGTTTACAGATATTTGATAGTATGCTGGTTAAACATCAAATTCTGAGACTAAATGAAATAAGTGTATATTCAAAACAGTTCTTTCAAAGTCTTCTGCAATAATTTCACTGTTTTATTGCATTCGCTGAACCAGTGAGTGTAGCACTGCAGCAAATGTTGGCAGGTATGAAAAACAATTCTCTCTGTACTTCTGGTATTTCAAATAAATGTTATTGTTAATGATTTTAAGTAAACAAGCTGGTTTAAAAAAATAACATCAAAGACAAAACTGATGAATTGCATATGTGAATGTATGTAAATTAGCAGTGAGATTTAGAAAACTGCACAGAGAGGCACCACCTGCAGTTTCGCCCAGGGCACCACATTGGTTTTGGCCGGCCCTGCTCTCACTGTCAGGCAGAC